GTACAGTGTGTGGTAGTTTCCAGGCCACCATTCTACTGTACAGTGTGTGACAGTTTCCAGGTCACCATTCTACTGTACAGTATGTGGGTACATGTGTGTGGTAGTTTCCAGGCCACCATTCTACTGAACAGTGTGTGGGTACATGTGTATGGTAGTTTCCAGGCCCCCATTCTACTGTACAGTGTGTGAGTAAATGTGTATGGTAGTTTTGAAGACACCATTCTACTGTACAGTGTGTAGGTACATGTGTATGGTAGTTTCCAGGCAACCATTCTACTGTATATGTTTGTGGTAGTTTCCAGGCCACCATTCTACTGTACACTGTGTGGGTATATATGTGTGGGAGTTTCTAGGCCACCATTCTACTGTACAGTGTGTGGGTACATGTGTGGGTACATGTGTGTGGTAGTTTCCAGGCCACCATTCTACTGTACAGTGTGTAGGTACATGTGTATGGTAGTTTCCAGGCAACCATTCTACTGTACAAGTGTGTGACAGTTTCCAGGTCACCATTCTACTGTACAGTATGTGGGTACATGTGTGTGGTAGTTTCCAGGCCACCATTCTACTGAACAGTGTGTGGGTACATGTGTATGGTAGTTTCCAGGCCCCCATTCTACTGTACAGTGTGTGAGTAAATGTGTATGGTAGTTTTGAAGACACCATTCTACTGTACAGTGTGTGGGTATATGTGTGTGGTAGTTTACAGGCCACCATTCTACTGTACAGTGTGTGGTAGTTTCCAGGCCACCATTCTACTGTACAGTGTGTGGGTACATGTGTGTGGTAGTTTCCAGGCCACCATTCTACTCTACTGTATGTGGGTACATGTGTGTGGTAGTTTCCAGGCCACCATTCTACTGTACAGTGTGTGAGTACATGTGTATGGTAGTTTTGAAGACACCATTCTACTGTACAGTGTGTGGTAGTTTCCAGGCCACCATTCTACTGTACAGTGTGTTGGTAGATGTGTATGGTAGTTTCCAGGCCACCATTCTACTGTACAAGTGTGTGGTGGTTTCCAGGCCACCATTATACTGTACAGTGTATGGGTACATGTGTGTGGTAGTTTCCAGGCCACCATTCTACTGTACAGTGTGTTGGTAGATGTGTGTGGCAGTTTCCAGGCCACTGTTCTCCTGTACAGTGTGTGGGTACATGTGTGTGGTAGTTTCCAGGCCACCATTTTACTGTACATGTGTATGGTAGTTTCCAGGCCACCATTCTACTGTACAGTGTGTGGGCACATGTGTGTGGTAGTTTCCAGGCCACCATTCTACTATACAGTGTGTGTTAGTTTCCAGGCCACCATTCTACTGAACAGTGTGTGGGTATATGTGTATGGTAGTTTTGAAGACACCATTCTACTGTACAGTGTGTGGGTATATGTGTATGGTAGTTTTGAAGACACCATTCTACTGTACAGTGTGTGGTAGTTTCCAGGCCACCATTCTACTGTACAGTGTGTGGGTACATGTGTGTGGTAGTTTCCATGACACCATTCTACTGTACAGTGTGTGGGTACATGTGTGTGGTAGTTTCCAGGCCACCATTCTACTCTACCGTATGTGGGTACATGTGTGTGGTAGTTTCCAGGCCACCATTCTACTGTACAGTGTGTGAGTACATGTGTATGGTAGTTTCGAAGACAGTATTCTACTGTATATGTTTGTGGTAGTTTCCAGGCCACCATTCTACTGTACAGTGTGTGAGTACATGTGTATGGTAGTTTTGAAGACACCATTCTACTGTACAGTGTGTGGGTATATGTGTGTGGTAGTTTACAGGCCACCATTCTACTGTACAGTGTGTGGTAGTTTCCAGGCCACCATTCTTCTGTACAGTGTGTGGGTACATGTGTGTGGTAGTTTCCATGACACCATTCTACTGTACAGTGTGTGGGTACATGTGTGTGGTAGTTTCCAGGCCACCATTATAGTCTACCGTATGTGGGTACATGTGTGTGGTAGTTTCCAGGCCACCATTCTACTGTACAGTGTGTGAGTACATGTGTATGGTAGTTTCGAAGACAGTATTCTACTGTATATGTTTGTGGTAGTTTCCAGGCCACCACTCTACTGTACAGTGTGTGGGTATATGTGTGTGGTAGTTTCCAGGCCACCATTCTACTGTACAGTGTGTGGGTAAAAGTGTATGGCAGTTTCCAGGCCCCCATTCTACTGCACAGTGTGTGGGTACATGTGTGTGGTAGTTTCCAGGCCACCATTCTACTGTACATGTGTATGGTAGTTTCCAGGCCACCATTGTACTGTACAGTGTATGGGTACATGTGTGTGGTAGTTTCCAATCCACCATTCTACTGTACAGTGTGTTGGTACATGTGTATGGTAGTTTCCAGGCCCCCATTCTACTCTACAGTGTGTGGGTATATGTGTGTGGTAGTTTCCAGGCCACCATTCTACTGTACAGTGTGTGGGTACAAGTGTATGGCAGTTTCCAGGCCCCCATTCTACTGCACAGTGTGTGGGTACATGTGTGTGGTAGTTTCCAGGCCACCATTCTACTGTACATGTGTATGGTAGTTTCCAGGCCACCATTCTACTGTACAGTGTGTGGGTATATGTGTGTGACAGTTTCCAGGCCACCATTTTACTGTACAGTGTGTGGGTACATGTGTGTGGTAGTTTCCAGGCCACCATTCTACTGTACAGTGTGTGGTAGTTTCCAGGCCACTATTCTCCTGTACAGTGTGTGAATACTTGTGTGTGGCAGTTTCCAGGCCACCATTTTACTGTACAGTGTGTGAATACATGTGTGTGGTAGTTTCCAGGCCACTATTCTACTGTACAGTGTGTGAATACATGTGTGTGGCAGTTTCTAGGCCACCATTCTACTGTACATTGTGTGAGTATAATTGTATGGACATTTTATATGAAGCATACTTACAGTTTCCAGGCCACCATTTCAATGCTGATAATGTAGGAGTATGGAGAACAAATTCTTCGGTTGTAGGATCGTAAGTTGCAGTTGTTTCCAGGCCTCGGATGAAAGTACCTTAATAGAAAAAGAAATGAACATCATTAAGAATCAGAAGAAACTGAACACTCAATGTAAAGAACTAGATTTCAATTTCACATCACAAAAAATATTTTTTTGGCTAAATTTTATTTAAAGATGAATACTTGTTTGCAACCATTATTATCTTCCACCACACAGTGTCTGCGAGGAATATGACAGACTGGTTCATGTGGGCAAGTTGTTTACATCATAAGTGCAGGGCTATGACAGAAAGATAGATGAATGGATGGATTGACAGACTGGTTCATGTGGGCAAGTTGTTTACATCATAAGTGCAGGGCTATGACAGGAAGATAGATGGATGGATGGATTGACAGACTGGTTTATGTGGACAGGTTCTTTACATCACAAGTGTAGGGCTATGACTCATGAAGTTTCAAGAGAATCAGTCTAGAAGTTTCCATGTTTTCGACCGACCGACTGACCGACCGACAATTGTACAATTAACAGAGAGACCGGCCCCCACCCCACCCCCCCGCCAACACTATGTGGCGAAGAATAATAAAGACTGCAAACAAGTACCCATCTTCTAAAAGTGTAATTATTGTAAAAGTTAGAATTTTAATAGGATATGATATCAAAATAACACTCATACAAATTCATCCCTACACCATTTTTACCTTAGTAAAAAAATGTATCAGGTGAAACAAGTCATTGAAAATGACAGAGTCCCCGTTAAATTTTTGAAAGTTCTCTTTGTGCTCGTCATATCAAAGTGAGGGGTTGTCGTGAGTCCCAAGTGGCGCATACAACAGAATGTTAATTTACATCAAATTCGACGACCCCCTCCGGTTTAAGACATGGAAAAGAAAAACATAGATCAGAGGTGAAAGCATGTCCAAGTTATCACATTTTAAACCAACAAGATGGTAGCCAATCAGCCATATTTGATCAAATCGCAAATTGAATTGACATGTACATGTATTCATTTATGACATACTAAATATCAATGAAAATGATACATGGGTGACAAAGATATAGTAATATGGCATTTGGGCATCTTTGATCTGATTATGAAATAAAGTGACATGTATGATGTATGTGCCAAATACGAATGAAAATGGTACATAGTATAACTATTGGAAAAATAGTAGTAAGGCCAAAAATTCAGATGGCTGTCAATCAGCCATCCTTTATCTGATTTCGAAACAAATTGTCATGGACATGTATCCTAACATGTATAAAGTACATGTATGTGCCAAATTTGAATAAAAACTGAAGAAGCATGTCCAAGATACCACATTTAAAAAAAAAAACAAGATGCCTGCCAGTCGGTCATCTTTGATCTGATTGCGAAAAAAACTGTTATGGACATGTATCCTAACATGTATAATCTATATACCAAATTTCAATGAAAACTGACAAAGCATGTCCAAAATACAACATTTAAAACAAGCCATGCATGGCACAGTCCCCGTTAGTTATCAAATTTAAGATATATAGTTTTGTTTATAGTAATATAGCTGGAATATAACCATGTCAGGAATATGATTTTTTAACATTAAAATGATTGACATTTGTATCTGATCGTCAAACAAGTACTTGTCCATATCGAGAGATATTGCTCTGGAACAGCATTCAAAATCAGCCATTTTGAATACATGTATATATATAACATGATGTATAACGAATATATAAAATTTGAATATAATCAGTCAAAGCATTTAAGAGATATGGCTCTAGAAGCCCATTCATTAAAACAAAATGGCCGCCAGACAGCCATTTTGAATCCAATCTGAAAAATAAATGCTGTGCATCAGGAACCCGTAATGTCTAATATATGTACCAAGTTTGAACGAAATCCATCCATAAATGCCAGAAATGCTTGATATTTGATGATTTTTTAGCACAATAATGACCACCATTCGGCCATTTTGAATAGGATCGTCAAACTAATATATCTGTTTATCTATGACATGATGTATAATGAATATTTAAAATTTGAACATAATCAGTGAAAGCAAGTCAGAGATATGGCACGAGAACCACATTCATTAAAACAAAATGGCCACCAGTAGGCCATTTTGAATCTTATCTGAAAAACAAAAC